TCAGGTCGCGTATGACCTCCGGGCATTCGTCCCTGCTATTCATTGTAGGGTTTTTGGCATTGATCCAAAAAGCCTCTAGATGTTTTCGAGCTCGTGTTTTGGACTCCTGTGCAAGGATATTAGCTTTTACTTCAAAATCGTCTCCGCTATGCTTTTGTATCCTATGCGTGCCTAGTTGGGTGCTTCGTCTTAGTTTTCGTTTGCCATCTAGGTGTTCTTTTATACGGATACACGAAGGTCTGCCCGTTTCGCCAATATATCATCTCCACAATTATTACAAGAGATCAGGTATATCGTACCTGAACTCGTGCAGTCACCGTCCCTGCCGTAAGGGCAAATTACGCAATTTGTTGTTTCACATAGACGGTTATACAGGCGGTTACGAACTGACTGACAACGTAAAGTGGCCGTGCTATTTCAATTACCGCTACCGATTCCTCTAGACCTGCCCTTCTTAAGCGTCACTTTATAGCTACAATTGCTTCATCGCTAACAAAGGGAAGGTAAACAGGATTTTGCTTCGACCAAATCTTTTGTTTTGGGGCGTCGCTCTCCTTCTAAATTTATCTCGTGGGGTTACTATTTCGTAGCCATTGGAGATGGCTATTTGCCGAGCCAACTCGCGCGATTCTTCCTTTAGTTCTGTGCACACAGAGGTGGCTGTTCGAAACATGTTTCTCACAAGCACCCTCTTTGTGTGTGAAGGGTGGGAAGAAGGGAAATGAACGAGGATGTTTTTTTTACTTGGCTTTCGGTACCACTTTGTCAAGTAACCTCTACTTGATAGGTTTATTGGTACGGTCAAAAACGGAAGCCAGTTTTTTCTCGGTTTCTCCCGGGTGAACTTTATGTACTCAGCCTGCTCGTTCAATAATTCAAAGCATTTGTCCATCTTCTCCTGTGTAGAGAAGACGATAAAACAATCATCTACGCATCTGCAGTAGAGTAGTGGCCGGAGATCGAGAACAGGGACTTCTATCTTAGACATCTACCGAAAGCTAAACATTCAATGAGTCAGTGTGGCAAAAGCTGCAGGTTGAAATCATCTGTTATTTCGCACTTTAAAATCGATAAACCGACATGTCCCGTCCTATATCTACTTATTAAAACACGTAAGTTGGTATCACCTGATAATCTTGCGTCAACCAATCCGTCATCATTTAAGGTTAGACCGATCATCAGCTGTGTAGACGGGCCAACGGATAGAGTAACCTGGTTTTTAAGCCTGATACTTACCCAGTTGCTTAACCACATTCGAGCTCATCTCACAAACACCCAAATGTTCCTAGAACGTCTACGTAACGCGTATCCTAATAACGCGTACGTGATGGAGTGTTTAGATGTTACTGCGTTGTACATCAACGTATCAAATGACTCCGCAATGCAAGCCATCTTCGAACTTCTTGCTGAACATGAAGGAAGAATAAATATCCACGGCTTGTCCATCCAACAGCTCATGGCTCGTTTAAGCGAGTGTCTAAACTACTCGATTTTCAGATGTATTTATTTATGAGATCTTATAAACTGATCTTCTTAAGCTGACGCGAGGTTGGTACAGATCTTCGTTGTCGTTGTCGTTGTCGTTGTTTTTGATGTTATTGATCGATGGCTGACGTTTCGGCGACTTCGCCTTCCTCAGAGCCGTGATGTTACGTGCGGGACTCGCGCAAATAAGGGGTTGGTAATGGGACAGCGACTGGTACCAAGCCTTGCCATTGCGTTTATGTCTAAAGTAGAAGCCCCCGTTCTCGGTCTCCGGTCACTACTCTACTGCAGGTACATAGATGATTGTTTTGTTATCTTCTCTACGCAGGAGGAGATGGACAAATGCTTCGAATCATTGAACGACCAGTTTGAGTAAATTAAGTTCACCCTGGAGAAACCGAGAAAAAACTGGCCTCCGTTTTTAAACATTCAAATTAACCTATCAAGTAGCGGTGACATGACAGTGGTACCGAAAGCGAAGTAAGAAGAACATCCTCTTTCATTTCCTTTCTTCCTACCCTTCACACACAAAGAGGGTGCTTGTGAGAAACATGTTTCGAACAGCCATCTCTGTGTCCACAAGTAGGGAACTAAAGGAGGAATCGCGCAGCTTTGCTCGGAAAATATCCATCTCCAATGGCTACGAAATAGTAATCCCACGTGATAAGTTTAGAAGAAGAGCGACGCTCCAAAGCGAGAGGTTTGGCCGAAACAAAATCCCGTTCATCTTGTCATTTATTAGCGATGAAATAAGTGCAGCCATAAAGCAATGCTTAAGAAGGGTAGATCTAGAGGAATCAGTAGCGATAGTTGAAATTCCACCGGATGCTCTACGCCGTCAGTGAGTTCGTAACCGCCTGTATGACCGTCTATGTGAAACACCAAATTGCGTAATTTACCCTTACGGCATGGACGCTGACTGCATGAGTTCAGGTACGATATACCATATTTCTCGTAGTACTTGCGGAGACGAATATATCGGCGGAGCAGGCAGATTTTTATGTATCCCCGTAAAAGAACACCTAGATGGCAAACGAAAATCAAAACAAGGCGTGCCACTAGGCACGCCTAGGATACAAAAACATAGAGAAGATTTTGATGTAAAAGTCTCCATATTCGAGTCATTTTCTTTAGTATGCCGAGGGTTCACACCTTTCCGCTGAAGAAGGGTCGGTGTTTATGTAGCAAATTATTAGTGGAATATCTAGAAATATAAAAATGAAGAGGTTTACCTGGAAGTTTAGATTCGAACTCTCGATTTTTTCGGTCTTTCTTGGTGAGCAAGTGCGAATTCTGTAAGAGTGAAAGCAGTAATTCATTTCTGCTTATTTTGCTTAACTGAGCTGTGAAGTGTTGTTTATTTAGTTTTTTTAGAACTTCTTATTTTTTTTGTACTCAGTCGATGAACTGGGACAACTTTAAGATTTATGGTTGCATTCACTTTGTGTGATTTTCCTGGAAACTGCATTTTGTGATCTAGTTATGTGCACCACCTGTGCAATGAATTTTTGACCACTTTTCATGAGGGCGACCTATTTGAGAATGTTTCCGGAATTTTGCAAGATATTGTTCTGCATTCCTCTACTATGAGTCAGGATTACCATTCAGCGAACTGTCGTGAAAGTACCCGCGGTGTTGGAATGCGATACCAAAAATATTGACACTAAAGTAACTTTAAAAAATAAAGCAAGTGATAATGTTGCTGCTTTGGACGGGAACTTGCTCGCTTATTTATGGTATAATATAGTAAATATGAAGGCGACATGAAGTCGACTTTCGTTAAGAAAATCTCCCTGTTATGTCATTGAGATCTAATACAGGTTGTAATTTTTGCTTCCGGTTGTTTAGCCTCTTACTCAATATGAAATAGCTCTGGTTGATTTCAGCCGTTTTCGGAAATAATGGCAATGACTGACGCTCAGGAAGGACTTATCGTCCGATGCATTCAACGATTAGGTGAAGTATGCAAAGACGTCAGGTGTGTAACTTGTTCGTTATTCGGAATTAAAGTCTCATTACTACGAAGCTATGCGGTGATTTGGTGTTTGCTATATGTTTAAGTTTAAATAGGTGACGCAAATTTTTTTTCTTGCATAGTTTCTTATGGGACGTATAGCACAGTGGTTAGAGCCACCCTGCGACAGGCATGAGATCAATCCCGAACACCATGCTAACCAAGCGTTCCATCCGCATGGAATCAGCAAATTCCTACCAGAATTGTCTGACAGGATAAGGCACTTACTTGGTGCATCGGTAGTCCACCGCGAATTATAGTATAGGTCGGATATGCATTCATTCACCTCTAACAATGCTTAAGGAGCTCGAATGCTTAACGCATTTCTCAGCGATTGATCAACGCCGAGGGCTTTATCCTTAATCCTTAATTCTTGTGTCATGTTAAATTAGTTTATCTATGTATTCCAAAAAGTCTGCGCATAGCGCAGTGGTCGGAGGCGCGCTGGAATACACATGGAATCGATCCACACGCTCAGGTTCACCAAGTTCCCTATCCCTTAGGGGTCGGCAAATTGGTACCAGACCTGTCTGGGAGGATAGCAGCACTGGCTCGATCGGTAGGCCAACGCGAGTCATTGTAAAGGCCAGATATGCATTTAGTCACCTCCAAACAGTGCTTAGTGTAGTCGAATGCATGGCGCATCCCTCAGGAATTGATCAACAACGAAAGCATTGTCTTTTTATGTATGCTAAAAGGCTAGATTTTACATTTTAAAATTATGGTCACATATCTTCTAGCTTGTTCTTACTTAGTTCTAACCTAAATTATATAAGAGTATCACGCGTACAATCTAATGAAAATTATATGGTTGTTCTATTTGACACTTCGCTATAGTATTTGGTGTACTAGATATACACTGGAGTCGACATATAGGCGATGAGGCAGATTGATATTAATGCTTGGTGATAGTCGCGCATTCAATGTTCAAATAGGCATATTCTTCCTCATGGCTCATGGTAAATTTTATTATTTGAAATAGAACCAGTAGAATATGCAGATCTTTGCAAATGGGACATAAGTTGGCCCACAAAACGGAGTTTTTTGTTTTTTTCTTTTTTTTTTTAACTCCAATAGACGTTCTTTTTTTCATCGCATTTCTTCAATCGGGAGTCATATTTGAAAACCAAAGCGACTGGACCTCTGTGATTTGGTGGAAGAGAATGTGACAGTGTCCCGCAATGTAGCTCTGATTTTTGCTACTGCTTCACTTTAAAGCTTTGATTTTACGAAATATAACTCGTATGAAATGCTGAGATATTTGCACCCGGTTGGTGTAGTGGTGAAGTGCGCTGCTCCCCGGTAAGAACAGCAGCGCGTGTTCGTTTCCCACTGCATACACCTGCGGTCTGGAGTTTTGCAAATATCTCAGCATTTCATACGAGTTATATTTCGCAACATACCCTGCCATTAAGAAGAGAAAAGGTAGTAAATAAAAGGGTTAAAGCTTTGATTTTATTTTAACTTTCTTGAAACCGTTATTTCTAACCAGTTTTAAAATTGAAAGAGAGATTTTAAAAAGTTGTATATACCCTTAAGGAGATGGAGCGAGTCGCGTTTTAATAGTTACTTGGATTCTTAGACGGTCGGTCTTCACCGATTGTGCGGATCACAGCACATTTACCATTCGTATCTTTCCCTCGCAGTCTCGTCCATGGTGGTGGTTTTATTCGAGCATGGTGGCGCATGCGAGTTTCACACCATAATCTGTAAGATAACTACAACTGCAAGTACAGCTGATAAACTTTTGTTAAGAACACATTCTCCCAACGCCGTCCTAGAGGACGTCTGCATTCTCGTGGAGTGGACAATTCTTTTAGTTCGTCTGTCGTGTTTTTTTTGTAATTATGTGACCGGCCCATCCCGTATTTCGCTAGAGTTGTATATCTATATTCTGTCGGATCTCGAAGATGGGACAGATTTCGGAGATCAAAGTTTCGCATTCCGGCTAGAAATTGAGTGTGCCGATTATATTTCAGAAAACAACGTTCATGCTCTTTGTGAGTAGTGTGCAGTATTTTCGATGTTGTTGAAGGATCAGCCCACGTCTCTGCTGCATAACCGAGCGCTGGAAAGACCGTTGAATGGAAAAGATGAGCTTCGATTTTCGACTCCTTCAGTGGATCGGTGGCTTCTTTGAGAGGTCCCAATACGGCCCAAGATGCTCTCCTTCCTCTGTCCAATACTTTCTTCATGTTGTTCTTCATGTTTGTTGAACGTCATAGATACAAGTACGAGGTGGTCTGTGTAATCACAGGACCACCGAGTTCGATTTGATCACCTTCACACCATGAGTTTTCAATGAACTGGGTCTTCCTCCCATTTATGCGTAGTCCCGTCTTTTCCGTTTCGTAGAGCTCATTGATCATCGTCTCTGCTTCGTGCTGGTACTTCGTTATCGTTGGCGACACGAAGGGTTGGTAGGAATTTTCCATCGATGCGCATGTCTTTCTCATCTCAATTGAGTGACTTCATTATCGACTGCAGTACGGCACCGAACACCTTTGGCGATATTGTGTAGTAGGACGGGTCCACTCTTTGGTCGACGAGCGGTGATAGGATTGCATTCGTTTCGGCACTCTCGAACGCTTGTAGTCGACCATGTGCAGGTGGTATTCACGAAATTCCATGCAGCAAAGTCCTTGTCGAAATCCTGCTTGCTGTATGGGTTGTGCCTCATTCACTGTCCTTGAAATGCGCGACAGAATAATCTTCGTGAACAGCTTCTAGAGTGCACTCAACAAGCATATCGGTCGGTAATTACGAAGATCTCTTTAGTCACCCTTCTTGGGCAGGATGACCGTGCGCGACGTCCTCCACTGGTTTGGGGATTTTTTTCCTTTTGGGAATATGCTGCTAAGTGGTTTGCGAGTACAAGTAAATTGTGGCTTTCAGTTCTAAGGAAGTCGACAGTGATATGATCGGGTCCTGGAGCTGTGTCTCGTTTCAAGCTTTCTATCACAACTCTAACCTCCGATGGAAGAATTCCAGGTGGTTTTTCTCCAGCGAGGGTTTTAGGATCCAGGATGGGGATTGTGGAACGGAAAAGGTTGGTGTAGAACGTTTCCCTTGTCAGTTCCATATCATTGTGGGAAGTTCTGATGAACTCATATTCGTTCATCAGGGCTGACAAAGAAACATTATAATCGCACAAGTCCCGATAACATTTTTTCAGACTGGTTCTTTTTTCTACTGCTTCCAGTAGTTTCTTCTCCCTGTTCCGATGTAGATCTTCCTGCAAAGCTCTTCTGCAGCTGGCATATATTATTAGCTGTTTTAAACATGTTGCAGTAATATCATGCTTCAGTTTCCTTCTCTTTTCGAGCAACTCCTTTGTAGTAGTGGAGATGCGATCCTATCTTCTTGCTTGGGGAACAGGCAAATTTAGCACACTCTTTCAGTCCTTCGAGAAGCAGCTCATAGTCTGCGGTCGGGCATTCCATAATGTGCCAGTCACGTCTGGATAGGACTTCGTTCGGAATGTTCTCATCGTATACAGCTGGACTTTTTCCTTGTGGTGGATGAAGTAAACTGTTTTCCAGCTTACGGCTGAATTTTTTTTTCAAACGTGTTTTCAATTTTTGAGCGAAGAAGACCGGAACCAGTACAGAATGACTAGACTACTGATGTGCCAAGTAAGTACCGCCGTCTGCTTGTCGGAATATGGTCGATCTCCGCACAAGTTTATCTTCTTAGGGCGCACCCATGTTCGGTCTTTGCTTTCTTCTAGAAAAACGAGTTCCCATGAAAGAGACATGGTGCAGACAGGTGTCCTGCGAGACGGATTCCATTCACATTTCTTTCTCCTAATCCAAAATTTCCGATCTTGTATTAGCTCTTGTTGAGCTTTCCTATTCTGGCGTTGAAGTCCCCGACAAAGGTTTTATAATATGCTTCATCATTGCGGGTAACTTCCTTCCTTCGTGGTAGTACAACGCATCGAATGCATGCTCATCAGTTGAATCGGTCTATAACCGACTTCTAATAAACCTGCCTTATTCTGAACACTTCAGCTTCTCAGACACTCTAATCATCAGAAATTTGTAGAAACTTCTGAGAGAAATGAGCATTGTCCTTTATCCGTTACGTACCAAGTGGTGGATAAACTACTGCCTTAGGCGATTTATTTCGGTTTACGAAGTAGTTTTTGAAATCACTGACATCTGGAAACTTTGGAACCGTTGGACGCGGTCGCTAAGTGTATCCACGGCAGAGCCCTCATGTTTAAAAATTCGGCGTTGAGTTTGGTACAATTAAAATGAAAATTGTCTTGTCTTCAAATAGTTTGAATGGTCTAAGAATTGCACTTTCACAGACGAGACGACTTGTAATAGAGATTGTCTAAAGCTTTTTAGGAAGCTTGTATTTCGTGCACTGTTTAACACGAAAAGTCAAAGCCGAAGTGTATCACTATGTATCTCGCAAGGCTATTTTACTCTATGATTTCAGAAACGCTGCTCGGATCGTTGGTGACCCAGAATTGCACGAAAAGATGGAACAGGTCAGCGCTGCCATTAAACGTGATATTGTTTTCGCCGCCAGCCTCTACACCAGTATGTAGGGCAAATGTTGTATTTTCAACAAGAGCTCTATGTAACTGTAAAAATCGTTGTCTGTAGAGTAAAGGTTTTTGGAAATTTGCTGTTATACTCTTACGTTGATTTTTTCACTATGTCCGTTTTGCTTATTATTTAGAAAATTAAAATACGCACGTCTATCATTCTTATGAACGTTATTAAAGTTGAACTCCGAAATGGAGAAACACCAACTATTTTTCTGTCGAGTTATTGGTACCGAGTAAAGGTTGAAGATTTTCCATTTCTTAATAGTCGTCCTACTCTTTGACATTGTTGTGGTAGTGAAATAACTCGATTTAAGGTTGGCTGCACGTACGGTTTTGCAAATAATTTACACATGCACAGTAGACGTGAAGACGAGTCTTACAAAATGAAACAAAAAAAAAATCCTTGGTCTTGTACGTTCCTGAAAACGCGACCGGATTTGTGTGCTCGTTTGTCTGCTGCTGAAGGGTTTTTTACGTCTCCCTCATTGACATGGTGAACGCTAACTGAACGCGGTTTTCGCTGCAATTCCGAAGTAGCCATGAAAGAGCGTTCTAAGATCTTCATCACAGACGATCGACGGCCATTGTGGTTCGTAATAAGGTTTGGTGCACTACGACTTGTTTTTTGCGGAGGAAACGAGTTCAGCAATCAGTCCACGACCAGCTCGGTAGGGATTTAGCAAGCTGAATTTCCTACGTAATTTTAACAACCACATGGAGCGGCAAGACTTAACCGGTTGTACCTAGATCTGTGTGAACCTCTTCGCAAGTCATTGCGGCTACCGTGAAAACTTGAAAAAAAGAATGGAGTGATGAGTTTAACTAGCTTTAGGAGGCGTATGAATCGTTTTCATGTATGACTTTCAGGAACTTGCAGCATTCATGAGTACAGTTGTTCAACGATGTATTTGCCTTCAACATCTTTTGCATAGAGTTAAAGCACAATAAAAATAGGTGAAGAGGTGGCTGTTTATTATCATTCTTGGTACATCTTTTCTCCACCCTATTCAATTCAAATCGGTAGTATGATAACTAAAACGTTCTTATTGCTTCGGCAGACAACGTCCTTAATTACTTTCCCCGAGTACCGTATGAATGTTTCACATGACTCAGGCTAATTCTGTAATGGAGGTGTGTAATCTGTTGGGGAGCGAACCGGTTGCTGGTCGTAGTATGAAAGAAGCGGAGGACAGCATTGTCCTCACGTATCGTCTACAGTTCCGTATTATGCTCAACACTGTTCTCGTTCTTGGTAAGTTTCCTATCGAAGAAATACTACTTCAAGCCTCAAACCTCTTCTTTCACATGCATGAAATTTCTAATGGAGTAGAGGGTAGGGTCTCTGTGTTCCTTTGATGCATTATAGCTATCCATGAAACTGTGTGGTCAAGCTTGGTATGTGCTCTAGTACTTCATACTTAGTGGAAAACTATTACTGTAAATTGTCATTATGAACATGATGAACTGTCGATATAATTCAATTGTGTCGAACTCGAGAAGAGGTATCGTGCAGAATTTTCTCTATGTTCTTTGTGGTTGGTTGTCTTAAAACACTGATGTGCCTGCATGCCTTGATTCAGTTTATAAGTCCAATCACTCTTAACGTGATTCTTCCAGCGAGAACACTGTCGGAATTCATAAAATAACTGAGTCAGTTAGTGAGCAATGAAACTTGTTGTAGAATTTCAGGCAGGTTTCTTTAGTGATACCTACGTACTTGATAATTGAATGGCCCGTCCTCACTAGTTGTGCGGGCTCCATCATAATCTCCATTTTTTCCAAGATTTAATGGTTAAGCCATTATGGTTTCCTGCAGTCCCGAGGTCAGCCTGGCCAACGTCTGCCCAAGTCTTCACCAGCACAACCAGTTGCAGTCCTTGTGGATCAGAGGGAAATTTGCCACCATGCGACTTTGATTCCAGTACGATGGTGGATCCTAGGATTGGTTTAGTCTTAGCTAGGCTTCCTAATTGAAACGCCGGTCTCCTTCTCGGTTTGGGAGACCCTGCCACGGGGATGAATGCCCTCGCTGCACATCGCAGTCCGACACCCAGGAACACCTCCCAGCCACGACGAGACGGTAAACCATTGGGAGGTCTTTAGTGATTAGTTGGCTGATTGTTTAAAAAAGGTTAGCTATTCTTCCAAGGAAAAGAGTTATTTACGTATTTTCGACAGCTCAGTTTAGTAATTTCGATCACATATATTCTGCTTCTTGTAAAATTTTGAACGATGAAAGTTGTATGTTGTATCAGCTCTTTTTGATCACTGTTCGTTTCTGTTCAGTGATCAGGTATTTGTTTGCAGGCATTTCATGGATGACCCTAATTCCGCCACTTGACATGCATTTTTTTTGGCATGTCAGTTAATTTTGTCGGAAGACAGACTTTCAATTAACGTCGGTGATAATGAAGAAGTGCTCTTGTTCATATGAATTGTCCTTGATGAGCTCACTATGTGAGTAACATATAGATGGTCTCGCTCCTTAGAAAAAGGAACGGCTCTTAGGAAGATGAAACCAAGCCGAGTATCATCGGAGCCCAAGAAAATTTGAAAAGCGAAGAAAAAAGAAAAAGGAGAAAATGCTAGAAAAACAAATTGATCTACTCCTTTTTTAGATTCTTAGACATCCGTAGCCGTTATTGAAGACGTGAAATAAATTAAATTTCTAAATATAGTTTGACATTTCGCGCGGGCTTCACTGCATGTGCTGCCTTTGAGTGGGAGACAAGGGATTTCGCATTTCTAGCGAGACTTCACCGGATTATCTGAATCTCCTTAGATTCGATCTGAATGAAAACGTATGTTTCAATTGTGGTGGTTTGCTGAATCGATCTCTTTCTTGTCCACCATTTATGTTACTGGCAAAGCAAAAGTTCGCTAACGTACAAGTGAAATTCCCTAAGGTCATCAGTACTTACTTCTCATTAATGTTCGTTTTGAAATTCCTTTTTGAGTCAGGAAAAGCAATCAGCCACAAGAATATTCCATCACAAATCAGAACACAAGTGCAAAGAGTTCGGAATAAAAATAAACATCTAAAGATTTTCATTCGTAGATTAAAATATTATTCATATTTTCAATTCTTCTCATTCCTTCCGTCGTCAGTCAAGGTGGCGGTATGGCGGAATTGAAGGCAATCACCGGCGATGAACCGTACACGGGTGCTGGAAACCCACCCGCACCGATTCCACAGCCGATGGGATTTTGGGGCAGACCGAGGTTAATTCATTCTTTAAATATTGTGATTGCGGTAGCTATCGTGAGAAGTTTATCAATTATCCAAAGAATTTAAGACGAAACCTTACCATAGATGCAAGTTTTATGAGTGCTTAAGGTTTAGAACGCTGCTGAATATTGAAATATTTCACATACCCTTTAGATACTATGTCACATACGTTCACTTTTCAGATACTCTCCAATGGTATACGATGCTTATAATCCTTATGAAGTTCGTCGCTATGTAGGAGCAGACCCCTACTACGGTAGATACAATCGTTTCTCGAGTTCCGGATACAGTCCCTACGGTCTGTGAGTGCTTCCAACCAAATATTACGTTTTGTATTGTATTTCTTTTTCCAACGAGTATCTATAATACATCCCACTCTAGTAGGAATCTTTGCAAAATTAAACATACATGGGTAGCATCGTCCACTGGTTCTTCGTTATTCGTCAAATGAAGCATTGACTGGGATGACACAACCGGTTCAGCATGCATTCTCTGCTCAGCAATCATATCTTTGTTTACTTTTTCAATGATTTTTTCTTTCAAAAGAGAAAATTGACTTTTCACTTTCTTCGCCGAATCCATTACCTCAATTTTCTCTCTTTTGTGAAATAGGGCGTGTTCAGTGTTCGTCCCGCAAAGTTGTAAACATGCACCTGAATGCGATGGGCTGCTTGCTTAAGCAGCCGTTCCGTGGTGGAAGTGGCTAGAAAGCTGCTTTCTGATTCATCGTCTCGAAGCAGCCATAAATTGTTCTTTTTCTCATGGATGTTCAGACCTACAGAATGTCTTTGACATTTCAAGGTTATTCGTAATAATTTTCTGCTTGCCAAACAGTATTTAATTCCCCAATTCATTACTCGTTCTTCTTAACTTTGCTTTTTATCAACTACGATCGCTAGTGGGTGTCCCGTTCTTTTTACTGGTTCGGCATTTAGCTCGCAATAAGAGTTTTCTCTGTTCACTAGTCATTGCGAATGGTGATACACTGTTTCTGGCATTAGAAGTTTTTTTGAGGTACATTTGAACCCACTGACGAGAACCTGGTGCACACGTGTCTCAGATGTGCCCGGAAGTAGTTCAGCCTTTCAGCCTTTAAACACAACGCTTCTTTGCTAGGCAGGATTTCGTCCAACGGAATTCGATGGTATACCCGAATGCGCCGCTGATCTCAATGGTTGCAGCATTCGTGGTCCGAACTTTTAAAGAAGTATTTATTTCTGAACAAATTATTGCTTCATTTAATTCAAATTTATGAAGAACAAATAAAGTAAGGAAAAAAACAACATGTTTCTGTACAATTCTGGAGCGCAAAAACCAAGCATGTAGGACACGTCTGTGAAGTCTTCGATTACTCAAGCTGTCCGTACATAAAGGACACTTATCGAAAGGTTTCAGTGTCCTCAAAGGTTTTTTCCATGAGAATTGTCAGTTCAACATTTATACACTTTTCCGTTGATAGACATGATAGAACCGGTTGACTTACAGAGATCAGGTTCTCCATTCCATTGAGATGGCCAGCGTTAAATCTAAGCACAAAATTGACTTCCCCAAAGAGAACGAAGCGAATGACGATGATCTTATCGCGGTATCAGCGTTCATATCGAGAATAAGGAAGATTACAAGGAAGATGAAATGGTTGAATGTGGCGTCTACTGACAATTTTCTCCCACGGCCTGTAACAGTTTTCGCTGTTTGTTGCAAAGGTTTTAAAGCCTTCATTTATTTTTCCCTTATCTATTCCTTCATCCATTAGGAATCCATTAGGAGGAGATTGACCAAATCATTGAAAAATGAACGAGCAGCAATGGAGATTGAGAGGTCTACCTCTGTGCAAGTAGGCGTGAAAAAGTTACAACATCTTTTTGTGCTGGTTCCCGAGAATCCTATCCGTCCTGTCGATCTGCACCAATCGATGACGGAAAGACGAACTTCGAAGATATTTTGCGCTACGTGATGAGTGGATCCCAATACCATTTACATTCGCAATCATTTATTAGTCCACTTCACTTCATCACCTTCCCTCGGATCATCGAGTACCGACTAGTTGCATCTTCCACAGGTGTCCACTATTGTGTCCGTCACTGGACAGGGGTCCGCTAATTGTTGACGAAGTCTGAACTCAGCTCATCGTTTGAAATCTGAAAAAAGGAAACGTTTTTCCCATCTCATTCGGATTAGTGCTTCGGAATAGTAATATTGACAAAATAATATTAATTGTAATTGCATAATAATAAGACTAATGCTCACTTAGATAATTGGGTGGCTCATCCTCAGTATTAGTGCGTGTCTGAGCACATTCTCCATTCTTTTATTTGTTATGAAATCGTCGTCCATGGTGGTAATCCGCTTCGAACACGTTGAACTTCGTATGTGGCGACAATAGCAATGGTAATACTGGTAATAATGATATTAGTAATAGTAATAGTAATAGTAATAGTAATAATAGTAGTAATAGTAATAATAGTAATGATGACGGCAAAAGATCGATAGAACTAGCTGAGAGACAGGCGAAACGAAGGACCCGCATGGTGTGGTGGTGAACGCGTTACTCCCCGGAAAAAACAAGTTCCTCACCACAAACACCTGCGGTCCGGAGTTTTGCCAATATCTCAGCATCATTGAAGTTATATTTCGCAATATACCCTGCCATTAAAAAGAGTAGGCAGTAAGTAAAACGGTTAAGATAGTGATAATAGTATTAATAATAATATTAACAGAAGCTTAACTATTTTTTACATGAAGTTTTTTCACGTGACCTGTCTTCATATGCGGATGTGAACGTTCCTTCCATTCTATTGTTTTCAACACATCCTTCGTTGAAGGTCTTAAGATTCGGGTATGGTTTCGTTTGCTGCCTGGAATCGTTGATCTTATTTATGAATGCCGTTGAACATTTATCTGGAATCCTGAGGTAGTATACACTTTTGAATGCTGAATTTTTAGTGGCGACCAATTTTTCGAAGGCATTTTCAAAACTTTGGGCATACTGAGGATTTTTTCTTGCTTGTAATTGTCTTCTTTGAAGAACAAGTTCTAGAGTAGTCCATTGAGTGTGTCGGATAAGACCATGTAGTTGAGTGCTGTCGTGGAAGAAGAATGGACGTTTTCTATTGAGGCAATACCTGATGCGTATGTCGCATTTTTGACATCTGCCACCAACGTTACAATCACCCTGTTATGGTCGATTTTCCAGTATTCAGAAAGCTTTAGAGGACAGGCTGTGTCGGCAAACCACTAGAACTGTCATGAACACCTTTCTGTGTAAATTCGTCTTTAGGAAGTGTTTAGGGCTAAAGCTCAGTCCACCTGTTGTAGTGAACGTCGTTGGCTGTCGTATAGATCTAATTTTCATCACACATCACAGGGTGACTGTGGAATTCGTCGCTTTCATCATGCAAAAGATTAACAAGGCAAGGTTCACAATAACGGTCTCTTTGCTCCTTATTCAATCTGAGTCCACTCATCGAGCTTTTCATTCCTCCATTGTTTTCCAAATGGCAAGAGATTGCTGAACCCTGGACGACGACTTTTGCCAGCTTTCTAGTTTTTTTTTTACTTTTTTTGTGGTCTTCTTCGTTTATTATCCTCAGATGGTCGTTCTCAAATTTTAGTCGTCCTTTTTCGTCTTCAGTATAGTTTGAAAACTTTATTAAATTATCAAAAAAAAATTAGACCTTCCCCTATCTCAACGTTACATAAATAAGTTTATATATACACATATAAGTTTATATATACACATATATACACACATATATATACACAGTTTATATATACACATATAAGTTTATATATACACATATATATACACATATACATATATATAGTTTATATATACACATACATATGTATAAGGGCGCTTGTGGCGCGCTGGTTGGAGGCGCTCTGCACACTCGTGGAATCGATCCCCGCGCCCATGGCCCACCAAGCATTCCATCTCTCCGGGGTCGGCAAACTGGTACCAGACTAGTTTGGGAGGATAGCAGCACTGGCTCGATACATAGGTAGGCCAGTGCGAGTCATTATATAGGCTAGACATGAATTTAATCACCTCTAACGTTGCTCAGTGAAGTCGAATGCATAGAGCATCCTTCAGGGATTGATCAACGCCGAGATCTTTGTCCTTTATACTGATATATATGTATATAATTTTGATTTCAAATCTATTTGGAACTAAAGCCTTTAAAGATTAAGAACCAGTGTTGGAATTTTCCAGGTAAGCGAGTCATCTACAATTGCCATTGATACATTTGGGAACTCCATCGTGTTGTGTTGGACGAAGTCTTCCTTACTCAATTGCTTTCGTGTTCAGAATACTAATTTTGACGCAAGAAAAGTGAGAAACGGCGTTCCATGGGTTCTAGAAAGCCGGAGTTTCATTTTGATAGAATGCGAGAGCTTATATCTCGTAGGCAAAGAAGAGAACGTTGTATTCGCTCTTAAATCGGTGGATAAAATTTATGGCAAGTTACTCCATAGAAAGAAATATTAAGAGTTTCTTTGCTAACTTAGCTATTGACCACTGCTGAATTCGAATTTTCTCATTTTCGTAGGCTTTAAATGTTTTCTAGTTTCCGGTAGATTTCTAGTAGACACTAGGTGTCTTTGAAATTTTCAGGCTTGCTGAATATTGGCATGTGCCCACATATCTTTCAGATATCATCCACTCGCATACATTTCTTATGATCCTTACGGAAATCGCCGCTATGTGGATGCTGTCCCTTACTACCGCGGATATAATCGTTTCTCAAGTGCCAGCTATAGTCCTTATGGTCTGTGAGTAGATTCAACCGACTAACACGTTTTCCACTCCATATTTTTTCTAACGTGCCTCTGTAATACGTTCGAATCCAGTATTCATGTTTGCAAAATAAGGCACAAATGGATAGCATCTTTTACTGGTTCTTTGTCCTTCGTCAAATAGAGCCTTCACTGATCACACGACTGGTTCAGCTTGCATTCTATGTTCACAGGTCATATCTTTGTTTACTTTTTTAAAAGATTTCTTGTTTCAAAAGAGAAAATTGGCCTTTTCGCCTTCCTCACCGAATCAATCACCTTAAATTTCTTTCTTCTGTGAGATGGGTTGTGTTAAGTGTTCGTCTCTCGAACTTGTACACATAATACGAGTGCAACGGGCTGCATGCTTGAGCAGTCGTTCCGTCATGGCAGGGCTAGAAAGCTGCTTTCTGACCCCTCGAAGCAGCCATAAATTTTTTTTCTCATGGATATTCAGACCTATAGAATGTCTGTGGCATTTCAAGGTCATTCATAATAATTTTTTCCTCATCTGACAGCATTTGATTTCCCAATTCATTATTCGCTCTCCACAACTTTAGTTGCTACCACCTACGACATCCCATTCTTTTTACTAGCTTGCTATCCTCGAATCGCTAATTTCAGCGTTGCAGCATTCGCAATTAGAGTTTTTAAAGAACTATTTAATTCTAGGCAAATTAGTGTTTCATTAAGTTTAAATTTGTGGAACCTCTCAATGGGCCTCAACGTGGCTAGGTGGTGTTCCTGGGTGTCCGGTTGCATGTACAGTGGGGATTCATTTCCCTCTCAGAGTTTCCCAAGCTGAGAAGCAGTCCGGTGTTTTCATCAGGAGGCCCAGGTAAGAGTAAACCAGTAACAGGATCCACCACCGTCTTGGTATCGAACCAATGGAATTGTGGCAAATCTCCCTCTGATCCATTAGGGCCGCGACTGCCTGCGGTGGTGACGACCTGGGGCAGATTTTGGCCTGGCTGACCTCGGGACTCCAAGGAACCACGATGGCTAAACCAGCACAACTCCAAAAAAAAGAAAAAATGGAAATTATTCTGGGGCCCACGCAACCAGTGAAGACGATCCATCCAAGTATCCAAGTGTTCAAGTAAATTTATGGAAATCAAAGAAGGTAAGGTCAAAAATTAAGCGTTTCTATACAATTTCAGAGCGCAATGGTCAAGTGTGTACCACATGTTTGTGAAATCTTTGTTCGTGCAAACAAGGGTATTTGTTGAAAGGTTCCGATGCCCTCAGTTGGTAAAACTCTAACTTTTTAATTCTCTCCGTTTTTTCTTTCACAAGAATTGTCAGTTTAACACGTGATAGAACCGGTTGACTTACAGAGATCAGGATCTGCATTTCATTGAAATGGGCAGCGATAATCCCAGGCACGAAAAGTAATTTCCTTCAAAGAGAACCAAGCGGTTGACGACGATCTCATCACAGTACCAGCGTGCATATCAAGAATGACGAAGACAGCATCACAGTGGTCAGAGATTTCTTGTAATAGACACTGGATCGATCACTGGTTTGATTCTACACCCTGGGCTGGAAACTGGAAAAGACTTGCCTAATAGGCTGGAAACACTGACTTGATACAACGGTGTAGTACCGCAAGGCTAAAGATGCATTCATCCACCTCTACGAGGCGAGATGAAGTCGAATGCATGGCGCATCCCGCAGGTATTGATCAACGCCAAACACTTTATTCTGTATTGAGAATGACGAGAATTGCAAGGAGAATGAAGGTGGATGGACTTCCAGCGTATTGGCGGAGTTTCCAAACGACCTGTAATCATTTCCGCGTTTTAGTGTAAAGATCTTCAAAGCCCTCCTGTTATTTCATCTATGAGTGGATCAGTCAAAGAAACAACAAATATCGAACAACAATAGAATTTTTATTATTGGGAGCTTTACTTTTGACTAGAAAACTGTAAAATCGCGTTCTTATCACGCCATCGCTACGGTGAAATTCATGGTGCGAGTTCTAGTCCACTTCACAGTTGTGAAGAAGATTCACCTCTACTGCAAGCGATGACGAAAATACGAACATTCGAAGATATTTTGCGCAGAGAAATGAGTGGATCTCTATAGCACTTACGTTCGCAGTTACTCATTAGTCCAGTTCACTTCAGCGCCTTCCCTCGGATCCTCGAGTTCCGACTGGTTACATCTTCCACTTATGCCCATTATTGTGTCCGTCACTGGCTAGGGGTTTGTTAATTTTAATTCTGAGCAACAAAGCACGTATTGTTCTGCCTTGTGCTCATTAATGCATCCGAGTAATAATAGTAATAAAACGATAAGTTGACACTTATTAGCTGAAGCTAACTACTACCAAAACTTCACATAGCAATTCCCAAGACCGACTTTCTGTTAACCTCGGCATTGATTGATAATCCGGTGTTTTTCTTCAATAAGCAGACATGAGGTTGTTATTATAGAATTTATTAGGATACAATAGCCGACGTTTCGGCGGTTTTGCCTTAACCACAGTCCTCGCCCATGATTACTCCGTGCGGCTGCTATCCACTGACTTAAATGCTTACAGCAAATAAACGGTAGGTGTTTTAATGAAGCTGTTTCTTATGCGAATATAAATTTATTTGTTAAGTTTTATCTGCTGGGGTTATGAAAGTGTTTGGCAGGGTAGATCGCATCTCAATTCGACCTTTCCAGGCTCTGAAGAAGGCGAAACCGCCGAAACGTCAGCTATTGGATCCTGATAAATTCTATAATAACAACCTCGTGTCTGCTTATTAAAGAAAAACACCGAACTATCAAAACTGCTCTTTACAACAGAATAAGATGAATGTTTTTGATAATGAGCAGCTTTAGGTATCGAAATTCCACAACTGGATAGCAATTTTTGAAACTGTTGAAATATTCCCTTGTAGTAGTGACTTTGTCCTCGAACTGGAATCTACTAGTTCCATAAATTCCATACCAAACTCTGGGTAGGTGCTTTCTTTTGGAACAATAACAAGTTTGCTGCTTCTGCTAACTTTCAATGTTGTAGTTCTGGAAGCGATGAAAGCTTCCAGGAGCTTTCTTCGAAAGCATTTTCAAAACATCGCTTGTTGAGGGTTATTCTTTAGATCTAGTTGTCTTCTTTGATTGCTTAAAAAGTGACGGTTGCTTGACAAGAGCTCCGATCGAGTGTTTGAAGAGGCTATTTGGTTGAATGTTGCTATGGGAGAATGTTGGATGTTTTTTGTTTGAGCGAATATGGGACACGTAGGCTGCAATTTTTCAATCATTTCGTCAATTCGGAATACCAGGCTCTCATTATAACTTTCTAGTGTAAATTCGACTTTAGAATTACTCAGAAACTCGGAACTCTGTCCAATCTTTGCGTTGAACCCGTCAGCCGTCGTCTTCACTTTTCTCCCATTTTCATGTTTGATCACACCGTACTCGAGGAATCTGTTGTTTTCGTTAAGCAAAAATGAGTGGAGGAGAGTTCATTAAGATGGTCCTCTTCCTTTTGGCCTTTGTTCTATCTATGTCGCATTCACCGAGTTTTTTCACCGTTGGATTGGCTTCCAAATTACAACCGATTCTTGGACGCTGAACGTTAAAATTTTCTGTAACTTCTTTAGTGCTCTTTGTGGTTCTTCTCAACTGTCTTCGAATGGTCGTTATCAACTCTTGGTAGGGTTCCACGACCTTCATCGCCATCACTGCGCTTCCATTTTAAGCTTACTCGTAATTAAATCTTTGGAAGATTAAAAACGAAGCTTAGACTTTTAAAAACTTCAACGTAAACGCGATGCTACAAACACCAACGATACATTAGAGAACACCGTTTTTCTTTTTGTGCAAAATCTAACTTGTTCGATAGCAATGAAGTTCAAAATACAAACTTCGACTCAAGGAAGACGAAAAACTGGGTTTCAAAGGTCCCAGAAAATCTGAATTTCATGTTGGTAGAACAAAAGAACTTGTAGCTTTCAGTCTCTTCCGCAAATTCTGGTCGCTTTTAGACCAATAGATAAAATTCGCTTTGAACTGAGATATGCTTGTTTAGGTATACGGTAACAACATAGAAAATGAATATATGCTATTAAATGTGCTTCTGAAGTTCGTAATGATAAAATTCGCTGTTGCTTTTGAACTAACATAAAATACGAGCGCTAAAATTTGCTTTCATATGGGTGTAAGATGGTTTTTCCTGGAAGAAATCAGAAAAAAAAGAGAAATAACAATGGATACATTTAGCACAACATTGCAAGCGCACGGTAGACCGTCACTTTAAGCATGCCCTTTATTCGGAAGTTGAAGGGAACTCTTCGATCACAAACTGTTCAAATATCTTGGATGTTAGATATTTTTGAACCTCACTAACTATCGCCGCTTCTAATGTTCATGCTTCGTGTAGATGAACACTATAGTACTAGAATAACCACCATATAAAGCTTTAGCTATGTAGTCCCAAAGCACCACTACTAACTACTTTGTAGTAGCCTAGCTAGGATAGAACATTTTCTGAGGTGCTTCGGTTCTGAATTTTCCGCTCTCATTTTATTTTTTCCAATTACAGAGGAGTATGGATTAAATCCTCTCGATGACTTCCTGCCGCCAACGACGAGACCATCGCCCTTCGGCTCTGTGCCGAGACGGTCCCCAGTCGTCATCCAAGACCCCGCCGACATTCGTCGTGCCCCAAACTCCTTCTCCTCGCCTCCAATCAATAGTCCATCCACATCTGGTTCCATCTCCTTGTCGTCAGCAACTGGTGGTGGCTACTACAAGGGTAAAGGCAACCCAATGGCTGCTGGTGCCTGAACCTCTCAACAAATGTTATGGTAACGAAATTTGAATAATTCTTCACTGAAAATATGAACTTCAATGAATCCGAGCGATCTATATTTCATGTGATTCATGAACTTGTTAATATAAGTGAATTCATTCGTTGTAATAATCACATATGAACTATGCACAGTTTAATAATATTTATTGCTTAGAATCGTGTAAATCTCTCGTTCGTCTCTAATAAATAAATCAATAATCTGGATATGCTAGAAGCTCTACGACGTCAATGAAAGTGCACTGCGTATTGCGCACACGAATTCAGGTAAGGATAATGAAATGCGATCACAGCGGCAAAAGAAGTCGCCCGAGGTGATCGCGACGGATTGGGAAAGCGTTCAAGGTAACAGCAACAACAATCGGGTGCTGAACACCGATGGTGAGCCGGATGAGCGAGTGGGTGAGTGAGTGAGTGAGTAAGTCCCAGTGGACACAGTCGAGCAAATATTTCAGACAACGAAATTAACATTGTGACTCAAGCAACAATAAAAATTCAACGAAAGGCGGTTATTGCTGGCACCGTCGATTAAGTGCGCAGCAGCTAAGAGTAACGATATAGCACTACTTTTTGACTAACGCAAACTGAACTGCTAACGTGAAGATGGAATACTTCAGTTAATGGCGGGATATCCTATATCAAGTGAAGCTGAAAATGAATACATTACATTGGGTGACTTGCATGTACAACTAACTGATGTGATACTACTAAAGCCCGATATTTACTTTCAAATCTTCTAAAGAAACAAAACTTTCGTTATTAGTGAATAAAATGCATAAGCACCTATTTGAACGTGCGTGCCCACCTGAGTTGTACTGATAGACTTGCGGTCGTTCATCGTCCAGCGGAACGTTGAAATGTTGAGTGATGCTGCGAGAGTTCGTCAATGGTTGCAGAGCCAACCAGAATGCTTGGCCGGAGATCAGATTGCGATCTGAAACACGCGACCTTTTTTTTTGAAATGAAGAGTTGAATTTAACTAACACAACCTAGAAATGGTGTTTTCAGAACTTCACGTATCACATGAGAATATGGGGAATAGTGGCACGCTATGGAGATAGGGTTTGTTTTTAAAAAACAGTATCGTGAAGCCAATGAACATGAGTGAGAAATGTTAACAATAAAAAACGATGAAACATAAGAGCTTACCGGTGATAGTGAAATGCGAAACATGTAAAGAAACAGATCCAGATCTATTACCAAACCAGTCCTACAGTTAATGACAGTAGTCGCAGCTTTGTTCTAGTGTTGAAAAAAAAGGAAGACCGTTTACAGCACTCACCGGCAAGACTAATGGTAACTTGTCCAAGTGCATTGTTTTCGGTAACACGATCGTAGTCCCAGACAGAGAACTCCAGAAAAACGGAAGATAATGCCATCGGTAACACCTGCCATTCGACGATCTGGTTCCATTCCGGGTTCGTAGAACACGGGACGAATCGAGTTCGTCGCTTATTAGATACCCTAAACTCACAACGAATGAAATCATCAGGAAAGGAACAATCTTTAAACTTCAGCAACTTCCTACCATCACACAGTAAACCCCCCTCCCAGATTTTTACCTCTTTCATAACGCGGTAAAATGTTAATGAAGCACCATGACGTCGTACCTCATAGAAATTTTCCCAAAGTTTTAAAGTCGACTTTAAGAATTTGAATTCGCAGCCGTTCTAATGAGGTAACAGGAGGATATCGATAGCGAAAACGCAAGAAACAAATTACAGGCCTCTACAGTAATTCATCGGTATGTCAAGAAAATGGGATGTCCAGAAAGACGTCGAGAGACGTTCGTCTTCGTCTTCCTGTCTCATGACCTGACTACTACGCCAGAAGCCGCACGAGTAATTCGGTGAATGTACTAAATGATGTTAGAACTTGCCATGAGGGTGCTAAAAAACGAGTAAACCCCCGAAGAATTCCAATGAAACAAGAGAAGAGCACAGCGTTAGTAGAAGTTGACTCGACAAAAACATCCGCAATGTTTGTCCGACTTCCCCAATAAAAAACCAATAGAACTCTGTCGAAATACCTTCCTGTATTACTGGGTGCTTTGGCACGACCACGCAGAGAATTATCCGTATAGGACTATACTTTTAGACTGTCAAGAATAGATTATTGAGATTAAGACTTTTCCTTATGAAGCAATATTTGTAATCATTTTGGTGGAAAACCATAGAGCTTTCCGTTGTTTCCACACAGTGAGTAGTCGGTCCTTTAAAAATCAGTCTACGAAAATGAAACAAATTCAGCTCATGGAAATCAACGAGGCTTTCAGCCTATGTGAGAAAGAACGTCAATGAAGGACCATTTATAATCGCATTCAGACTTTTTGTCAAGACGAAATTGACAGAGAGACATGCAAAACGAAGGACCCGGATGGTGTGGTGGTGAAGTGCGTTGCTCCCCAGTAAGGACAGCAGCGCGTGTTCGTTCTCCACCGTCTACACCTGCGGTCCGGAGTTTTGCAAATATCTCAGCATTACATGCGAAATTGACAGAATTGAAACAAAATGACCATAGAAAATTGAAGGCGTTTTAGAAAGTACTGGAAATGATGCTGTTGTTCGATTTTCGATGCTTGAAAGGACTTTAAAATCTGGTGCTTGGGTGCACAGATGGGATTTAAAGGGATCTAAAGGCAACAGCTTAACAGAATAAGAAGATATCGTTGAAAATTATTAGCCTCCAAAAATTCACAGGGATATGGAAAAGTGGGACACAGAAGAGCACGAAAGGGCTACTCATAAAGGTAAAAAGTTTTGTAGTCGTGTTAATAAAGAAATATTCTTAATATGCCTCAGCATAGACTGGAAGCCAAAACATCAACAACTTAAGGTCGGAATTGGACACTGAATCATAGAAAGCCAACGAGAACACCCGAACATCAACGAACAAGCCAAATGAAAATCTATTTTGGTAGAATATGTCCACCTATACAATCATTTCCAATCACACAAATCAAAGAGGAGCTCTTGGAGAGTAGTTTCGATTATGTGGACATCAAAAGCTGAAATTCCATGCTTCGCTTGTGGTCGGCAGCCCGAAGTGTCACTGCACGAATCGTGATGTAGAAAGCTATCTACCAGGACATGCTCAACAAATAAGAGGGAACAGGTAAGTGTAAGTCTAAATGGATAGTACTCCGTCAATACCAAAAGAACGCTTTCAGACGATGTAAAGACTAACTTTCTAAACTTTCAAGCATACTAAACAACTAAACCTAACTAAACAACTTCTAAACTTAACTAACTTTTAAAATTAAAGGACTCTCTGACATATACCCTCAGAGTGAATAAAGCCTTTTATATCTGTAGATTACATTTAACATATTACATCTTATGGAGGGTGGATTACTGTTACTGATTGCGTGCTTAATCCTATGATCACTAGAAAGACAAGTTAGAAACAGAGGAGAAATCATTCGAGCGGTGCCCCACTCGATCAGATTCGACTCGATGGCACAAGGAAGAGGTCTTCTACCTACTTCGCGAAGAGGAACGAGCAAAGACTTGGATCCATGCTACTCTGAAAAGGACGAAAACTACGAAACTATGCCCGAATAGTTCTTCATATTCTTGTTAAGCAAACATGAGGTGTTATTTCCACCGCAAAAAAAGAATGAAATAGCAACATCTCGTGTTGGTCCAACGAGAATATGAAGAATTCTTTGATCAATGCCAAGGTTAATAGAAAGTTGGTTGTGGATGCTCGAATAAATATTGCTTTACCAACCTCGTGTTAGCTTGATAATCCAGGGAAATACTAGTTTGTAGTTTTTTGCTACTCTCCATGTGCTAGCTATCAAAATACCGACTGCTGCAAGGTGGATTATCGATTGGAAAACAAATTATCATTAACTGATAATCATATCAACAACAACCGCCCTCTATAAAAGAGCGTCGCTGGGTGAGTATGGCTCATTCGAGATGCTCAACTGAGGAAGATCTGGTTCGATGCGAGATGAAGACGCCACATCGAGAAGAGGAACAAATGTGGACCATCGACAAGGACCGTCGGCCGAATAAACATCTCGTGTCAACCTCGTATAAGCTCAACTATATAAACACTAGTTCTTACAATGTTACACCTTTTTATTTTCTGCCTACTATAATTTCGCGGCAGAGTACCAAGCGAAATACAACCACAACGTTGATGAGATATTTGCAAAACTCTGGACCGCAGGTGTCTATAGTGGAGAATGAACGCGCTATTGCCCTTTCCAGGGAGTAACGCGTTCACCACCACACCGTGTGGGTCCTTCGTTTCGCCTGTCTCTCAGCTATTTCTATCGATCTTTGCAACAGCAAACATCCGTCAGCGGGATTGATCTCGCATGGTGTGGTTGTGAACGCGTTACTCCCCGGAAAGGACAATAGCGCGTTCGTTCCCCACCATAGACACCTGCGGTCCAGAGTTTTGCAAATATCTCAGCAACGTTGTGGTTGTATTTGGACTAGTTCTTACGTTTGTAAAGTTATCGAGCCAGCGCTCTATAAGGTTTATGAGAAGAAGGTCAAATAATGGCGATCAGGGTCAGTCTACTCATTTTCATAATTAAATCATGTAGGTATAGGCTGCTTAGTAATACTGATCACAAATAGGTACTGTAGAAAAATTAAGATGAAACTCGGCAACACATACTTTCTAGCCGGTAGCAGGTAAATTTTGACGAAAGGGTTAGGAGCGAGATGCCTAATAGGATCGCGCATCTTCAGTCCTCGGGCAGCGATAATCCTGACAATGAGTCGAGAGGTATGGCGATCGTACGACACTGCTATTTGTAAGTAGCCAAGTGAATCCTGTAAAAAGCATTGGATTCATGTATTTTTATACGAATGTTTTGAGTAACAATATGCTATATAGAATAACGTCGAAGAACATCGGTAAGAGAGATAGAGGAACTGTAAAGAAATTAGAAATGGTGTTCATTCACTGGGTTCCGGTGGAATAGTCTCCAATAATGGAAAAATCAAGATTGTTGTTTCAGTTATTTGTTGTTGTTGTTGCTTCAAGTGATTTGTTAAGATTTTACTGTATTTAACACCTTTGCGATCACATGTAATTTCGTGTGGAGGGCAAATGTCGTCCACTCTGTCTTTCTCCCCAAAAAACAGGTCACGCCCATTTCATAGTTTCCATTCTAAAATCTAGTTTTCCCACTAATTTTCCACTCATTTTTGTGGATTCTTACGTGGTTCTTCTTATTATTAGAACATAAGCAATTCTTATATGCGAAAAAACTCCGCCTTTGGCAGGCCGTTTCGCAACATGTGTTGAGTATATTCCTGTATACATGTGTTTTTTACCCATCATTTTCATACACGATAATTATTGCTCATAATTGAGGATAGCACAGTGGTAGTGATGTCGGTCATCACGAGCATGGTGCTAGCCCGATTCCGCTACGGGTCAACCAAGCCTCTCATCTCTCCAGGGTCGGGAAATTAGTACCGAACTTGTCTGGGAAAAAAATCACTCTGTGCAATTAGTTTGGAACGCACCAGCCCGGTTATCTCAGGAATCCAGGGAGAATTGCTCGACCAGCATTCTACTACATTAACGATGAAATAAAAATCCTCAAGCAGCAACCGAAGCCACACGTAAAAGTTGGAAGATCTCCGTGGACAATGGATGCTAAGAAACGAATCGAATGTGAGCAGTGCTAGGATCTGCACAGTAGACGTGAAGACGGGTCACATGAAAGAAAAGGCGATTGCAAAGGAAAGATTATTCAATTGGTCACGAAATAAATTTCATGCATTTGAACCACGTTCAGATGAATACAAACGTATGTTCACCACGGATAGGATTCTCATCGAAAGTGAAGAGAAAGGCCATACACTAAGGTGATAAGAAACCTCTATGTCATTCCCGCCAGAGAATATAGAGAGAGTGAATTAGAACTGAATAAAGACGACTGTGACCATGGCGAGATTAGGAGGAAGTGAATAAAAAATTGTTGTGCCTCACGACCACCGAGTCCATAGCAGTAAATCTGTAGTGGATCTAAAGCTCCTGCCTTAAGGATGTTGAGGTATGAGCAAAATTCGGAACCTTAGTTGGGTCGATCCGAGTTTCCCACCCTTAGTTGGGTCGATCCGAGTTTCCCACATATCTCAGCATTCTTGTCGGATGTATTTCACACTGTAATCTGCCACTGAAAAAAAATAGGAGTAGAACTCAAGACATTGCTCCTGCCTTAATTCAGGAACATATGCTTTTTTAAGGAATACATTGGCTGAAAAATAATTTCATATCGTCATGGAATTTACTGGGAAATTTCGTGAAATATATTTCCCTTCCCTGTTTTCCTACATTATTTCAAGCTTATTTCTTACTTAAATATTTTCCGTACAGCACTATCTCAGCACTTGATTTCCGACGATTTTGCGTTCTATTTTTTAGCCGTTAGCCTCCGGAAAGGGTAATAATGCGCTTGTTTGCCACCGCAGACACCTGCGATCCGGAATTTTGCAAATATCTCAACATCATCTTGATTTTAGGTTATTGAAATGGTACTGTGGAAGGAAGATGCTTGTGTCGCTTTGCATTATTCCACGGTGGTTATGAAGCAACGGTGGCAACTGGAAATATCATTAAAGTAACAGCCAGAGATGCGCTTCCTGGTACAAAAATGGTTCTTAAGGCTCCATAAGTGCCCTTACAGCACAGAAGGTAGTGGACACCCAACCGTGTGGAGACGGTAATCGAAGCAGTCCCTTCAAAAACTAGCAGAAGATTTGTAAAAAGTCTGACACCACGTGCGTTTTGAGGACGGTGAAAAAACGTGATAAATGGGCGCTTCACGAATTGAACGAATGGGAACGAGATCGACTTCCCACAAACCTTCCAATGCCTTTTTTTACACAGTAAAAATAACCGATTATGCGATAACGACGTGACGTGCGATGATAAATGGATCCCATACCATAATCGACGATATTCACTTTAATGAATGGAACAAGATGAAACCCTTGAAAATTTTTAAGGCCTGATTAAAATATGGTTACAACTTTTTAACCTTAGGCGAAAAGAATTGTGTAACATAACATCTGTTCACAAGCTGATCAATGTAGAACAGTAATTTCATGAAATCGATGAAATCGTGAAGTGTAGTGAAATTATCTAGACATGACCAGTAGAAAAAGTGCCGCTCTCTTGCACGACTTCACTCGCCCATACGTTGCACTCGTGCCGCGAAAATTTAATTAGTAGGGCGACCCACCCTACTCGTCAGGCATCGCGCCTAGCAACTACCACCTTTTCAAGTATCTCGTCATCTACTGCAAATCTTCGAAAACGAAACTGTTGCTAAAAATGTCTGTGAAGAAGTCCTCGGTCTCAGAAGCTCAGAATTCTATGGTGCTGAAAGAGATGAGAAAATGAATCGAAAACTTTGCACACTTACTGTCTCATTAACGCCTTTTCGCTAACAATGCATCACCATTGCTATATAAGGGTTTATTTTCCCATGTTTGAGGTCTGGCGTTACTATAACAATCGAGAAGACTCGCGTGGCCGGAAATGTCGCACAAATCAGCAACTTCACTACAACACCTGTATACCGAAATTGGTATAAAATTGACTCCTTGGCTGAGAGATTGCTCAGAAATGAAGAAAAATTCTGAAAGAAAACCAAATCCATCCGAAGAATCATTGACTAATAGAGGAAATAATACGGATGACCACATGTAGGTTCGAAGTCGACGAAACTTTTCATAGTTCAAAGTTTTCGAACAGGATATCACGTTCGAGAACCACGCTTGTGGCGTTTAATGGTCAAAGAAAAGTAGTTTGCTTCTTCACCAACCCATTGGTGATATTTTGGCGCTCATATCTTTTGTCCAACGAACTAACTTGTTCTGAGCTTGATTTTCACCTCACATTTTCTTTGAACTGCTCCATGCCAGATAAACTCAACCAGAGGGCGACGTCGTGAAGACGTCGATGGTCAGGAAGACCCATCCGTCAGCCCACCTGTTGTTTCTTCAACGCTGCATCGTCGGCAAAGTTGAATCCGTCGACATTGTCGTAGATTCTGGACGCGGCATTCTGTCGTCCGTAGTTGTTCTCGTAACCGTTTCGACGATGCATAGGCACCGGTGGCGTTCGATCTGGTGAAACGTCTGAAGAAGTGGACGATTTTTATCGATCAAAACAAGATGCTGGCACTGGTCCAGAAAAGATTTAGCGAAGTGGTTGCAAGCAAAAAAGTTGGCAAATATGGCAACTTTTTTTTTGAAAATTTCAAACAAACTGGGACTGTTTAAAATAGGAACATTTTAGGAAGGAATTTTAATTACTTGTCCTTTTTCTGGATCAAGAAATACGAACCATTAATTCTGAATGTTCTCTGCAAAGATTGCGATGCTGTGCAGAGATTGGCCGAGCGTTTCTTATCCCGATTCTGATAATACTTCCGGAGATTGGAAATGCGATGAGATTCTTCCCCTTCCCTAAAATGGCGTGATTTTCAGAAGTGACGAATCGCTGTTACTTCTATGAAAATAAGTGATGCATTTTGCGAAAATTTTCGAAATCAGGACAGTTTATAGGAAAGCGATGACAGATATAAATCACTGTCAATTTGCTAGGATAGATTATTTGTTACGAGTTGATCGGTCAATACCAGAGGGAAAAAACCATGAGTACGGCATACTTGCCTCTGGGAATGAGAATTCATTGATATACGATTCAAATTCAATACTGTCAGGTTCTAAACCGCCTTAAATATAACACCAAAACAAATTCGTTGACTTGGAAAATAAAAAACCAGAGAGCAGTGTAAAGACTTACGATTTTAATATGATTTCCACTTCACCACTGCTGGAGTTGACGATCCTCTCCACTTCCTCGAAAGTCTTTCCGTTCAACAGCACGCCGTTCCATTCGAGGACTTGGTCGCCTAGATTGAACATGACTAATTATTCACTCATCAATACAACTTTGAGTTATTCAATTTCAGTTACCTATAACGGCATGGATTTATAGGGAATTAACCAAATGAACCAACAATACTGAAGTTAAATTTAGGTTACGATTCTATCAAATGACGATTATCTTTTAATTTTGACTTATTATTTACTGCCTACTCTTTTTAACGGCAGGGTATATATTGGGAAATATAACTTTAATGATGCTGAGATATTTGCAAAACTCCGGACCGCAAATTGTGATTGTAAGAGCAGCCTCAGTTTAACTGGGTTCGTTGCCTATTTGGACTGCCCAGATCAATCCCGCTGATCAATCACGCTGACGGGTGATTGCTGATGGCAAGGGATCGATGGAACTAGCTGAGGGACAGGCAAAACGAAGGACCAGCATGGTGTGGTGGTGAACACACTACTCCCCGGAAGCGACAATAACGCGTTCGTTCCCCACCACAGACACCTGCGGTCCGGAGTTTTGCAAATATCTCAGCATCATTAAGATTATCTTTTAGTCCAAAACGGTAGAAAGAAAGAAGAGATATCGAGAATATACGAGAAATCGTTCTCCGACATGAATTTATTCACGCTGCTTTGTTCTGTGCATATGGAAAGATGCCGTCACCTTCCTTGACTTCGCCCAGGATTTGATTGTTCTTGACTTGGTTGACCGCCGAAACGAACGCACCCAGGTCTCCGTTCGGCATCCGCTTACCGCCAACAACTCGAATGCCGAGGTCTGCAATGCGCTCGAAAATACAAGGGCTTTTACAACAGACTGAACAGATCCCATGTGAAGTTCTTTGCTCTCAATCTCAGTTAACAATTTACACGGCTTGCAGCAAAGAGAAAGAACGATGCATAAATACCTCATAAAAAAAGATGAATGAAATTAAGAACATTCGAACGAAATTACTCATTGTAGTTGTTTCAACTTTTTAATAATCATTGCGCTATTGGAAAAGTATTAACCCATCCATTCGTTCATCAAACGTTTCGACAAAAAAGCTTTCAACAAAAACGGTCACCTTAAATGTTACACTTGAATAGTTGTATATTCCGCTTCTATGAAAACTTCGGCACAAGCACATTTTCCGCCTAAGTCGTACGTTGTCAGTTTAACATTTTAAACCGGAACTCCGAAGAACAGGTGATAAAGCATTTATAGGTTGCCATCAGAGGCAGTGACCGATCATTTACTATTGGGGAGTTATATCCTAATTTCCAACTAGCTTTCTTAGTTTACGGCTTCCTTTATTGTTTCGCTTTCCTAAGGGCTCATGGCAGCTATAACTCTCCTTGGTGTTGAACAGCAACGCGTGTAGAAGAAGTTATATCCTCAGGCGATGTATCCCAGACGGAAAAAGAGTTCGACATTTCTTTGTTAAGGCCCGGATAACAGTAAATCAATAGGACGGCAAAGCTAAGGGATTTGCCAACGGTTTGCTTCTCGTGACAAACAGCAGAAAGAAAGACTACACCAAAAGTGCGATCGCTTTCGTTCTTCTCGTATGAGTGAACTCAAGTGAGCAACGGAAACGAATAAAATGGCTGTAATTACTCGATAATTGAGGGCATCAAAAGAGGTTCAATCTGTTATAAAGGTTAAAGGAGAAAGCTCTAGGCGTTGATCAATACCTGAGAGATGCGCCATGCATTCGACTCCATTACGTATCGATTGGCAGTGATTGAATGCATATCTGCCTTTATAGTGAATCGCGGTGGCCTGCTGATGTATCGAGCCAGTCCTGCTACCCTCCTAGACAAGTCTGGTACCACTTTTTCGAGCCTGGAGGGAAGGAAGTCTTGGTGGGCCATGGGCGCGCGGATCGGTTCTACGTTTGTGTTGCAGGGCGCCTCCGACCACTGCGCCACACGCGCCCATGTCTTGTTCATTCCAATACGTTAACACAACTTATTTAAACTAAGCAACAGGAACTCAGAAAGCGAAGTAACCAAAACGTACTTGGACAGTATTCTTCAAAAAGATATAAACAGCAAATTCCAAAAGATCTTAAAACTATGCAATGCATACATTATAATTATATGTTGTTATTCATACTAGTAATATTGGGCTATTTCATAAACATGGCTCTCAAAGCTAGCGACTACCATTATAGACATTGTGATCCTTATAGCGTCTGGTCAGAAGAATTCGTTTGATCGTCGATGACGGACCATCGTAAGACAGTACGCCAGTACGTCGACTTCTCATGACCTTTTCGCAGTCCTTAATGGAATTTAGGTGAACAGACCGTGTCTAACAACAAAAAAAAACGGGCAAAACGTCACAACCGCCTCGTCAACAGTTCACACGGACTCAAACAAACCTCAGCCAAACGCTTCACTGGTCCTGGATAATCCGAAGTCTTTTCCCAGCTGAAGGAGTGTTTACGTCCATGCGACTCTAAAAGAGTTTCAAGTGTTACAGCAGAATGAGATTTCCATAGTCTGAACCGAAATAAATTCTCTACACCTGGAGACATAAAGGATGCAGCCGAAAGAGGCGACATCTAATCCCCCGCTTTTCATAGCACGAAAAACATTCTAATGAAACGGACAATAACGAGTTTGAACGGTGCACAATCGTATCTAGTCTACAATAACGTCACTTTACTCTTTCCTTTTCAGCTAAACTTTCGCTCTCCGATGAAAGTTTGCATTCGGATAATTAAAACAAATAGGATCCATCCAGACTTCCTCGGCATGCTCCTGGGAATGAAAACCTATGAGACAAATTGGCCTTGTAACTTTAAATTGACGAAATGTAATAAGGCCTTTGTATGCCAAGATTATAGCTTGGCCATGTTTCCAACCGTTACTCCAAAAACTGTCACCGGTTATCGTAGGCTCCCGTTATGAAGTTCAAGCTTGATTTGTGTCTCAATCAGGAGGAAAGAAAAGAAAAGAATCAGACCGTTGAGCTTAATAGAAGCTGCAAAGGAAAGAAAAGTACCTGTTGGCCACTATTTATGTTATGAAGATCACCGTTTACTAAATAATTTGCTCTCCTGTTATAACATACGAATCACATATTCGTTGTTTTATACTCATCGACATGCGTTCCATTAGCTACCTCTCCTCATGCTCTTCCTGTTCTCAAACTCTCTACGTCCTCTCTGCCTCTTGCTTGGTCGTCGTCGGCTTTCCGTATCTCTTTGCACTACAGCAACATGTTATTCACTACTTGGAACAACATAGCGCACCTTGCAGAAAGGCCCTACAGATCCACCAACATCATTTTTTTCAAAATGATTATTTCACACCTGCTCATTATTTCATTAACGTGACAAAATCTTTACAAAACAATAGAAAGTCCCAACGCGGTGGATATACCTTATCTAGATTGAACTAAAATAATGCAAAAGACTGGAACGCCTCCAAGTCTGATGCTGTGTTAGGCACGAATGTCATAGGATTTTCCGCACATGTTACTTCCGCATTAAGACACCTGAATTTCGCTACTGTTCGTTTTATTTTATGTAGTGCTTAACATGCCGATAATGACACGGCACTCTTTGAAAGCTCTTACAAGTATGCAGTTCTGTACAGTTTATTCATAATAGATCTCTATCAATAAGTTAAATGTGTGCACTGTTCAAACGTATCATCATAACATCGAATATAGCAGCAATCGTAAAGTTTCACCGATCGTTCATGAAAAACGAAGGACTAGGAGCACCATCATCTTGGACGTACGTCGGCATACCTGAGGTGGCAGGACGTCTACGACCGATAGTCGCATACATTCTTGTGAGTGCATCCTCATGCGGATATTGGGCATCGTAGCTAGATGGCATCAAATTGCCAGACCACGTTCGGGAAGTGTTTTTACCCACGTAAGGAAGACCATTGGATATCATGGATGGGTAACTGGAGCGTAACGGCGTGTAGTTCGGAATTGTCTGACTGAATTGTGGCACTGCCTGTCCGCTGAGCACACCACTGGTGTTATATAAGGAATTAGAATAAGGATCTTCAAAAGGCGGAAATTCTGTTGTTCGTAACAACCTGTTCCCGTAGTCTAGAGGGCAGTTTGGAGGGCGCGCACCGTAATTAGTTTCATTTCGACTATACACCTGAGGGACTTCATATGGCAAATTTTTGACTCCAACGGGTTCACAGTAAGTAAAGGGAGGCAAATACGTCGGAGGTAGTGTGGTAAAATACGGATCGGTTGGCTGTGGATCGTATCTGACCGCCGGTGCTGTGGAAGGTATGTAGGAACTTCGAGAAACATCAGACTGATTAAGCAGCCCAGTTTGAAACTGCTGATTCAGATAAGTTGCATATCGCGAGACCATATCATCCTGTTGGGCGCTAAACGGTTGTGTCAGAATATTCGCGTCATTAGGGTAGACACCGCTGGTAAGATATGGATTAGCTCTCATTTGAGTGGAATAAGTTGGACAATCCATCCGATCGACCCCGATTTGATCCAAATAATTTAGCGAACGAACATCCGTTGGTGGAAGATGGTAGCGAGGGTCAATGATATTATCTGAATGCAGGTCAAACATAGAGCGTGAAGCAGTGCCGGCAGTGACGGGTCTGGCACCAAAGGATTGCTCGTAGTCAACCTGGATCGGAACCTGCTGCCCGAGGCACCTTTCGTAATTACGAGGTAGGGAGCCGTAGTTGTAAAACGAATTGGTAGTGAATGGCAACCTTTCGCGAACAGTGAAGTCGCGAGTAAGTGGAGATCGTCTGCTGCGACATGGGTAGTCGATACGGGGCAACGATCCGTACTGTGGAATCGACAATGGGTAATCTGACGAATCGAGAGCTAGTTGCGAGTGATAGGATCGGTACGGCATTGTCTCTGATGGTAGTCCAACTTGGGCTAGCATGCGTTCACGGCGTTGAGCTAACTCGTTTATTAGTTGTATACGACGTTGTTCTCTACTCAGTGGATCGTCGTCATGAAAGTCAAACTGTCTGCGCTGTGCGGATCGTTTTGATTTCTCCGTGAGCTCATTAAGCTGACGATCGTAGTCCTCGAAATACTTTTTCGTAGCTTCTAGTAAATCGTTCGTTTGCACAGTGGCATTGCTTCTGGAGGACTGAGTTGACAGTCCACGACCTGTTGATGGCTTTTGACGACTAGAGGCTGAATAATCGGAGGAAAAGAGTTGCTCGGTCTGGGTCTCAACATTTCTCGCGCTAGTGAAGTCTCTGTACTGAGGCTTTCTTTCTACATTAAGTTGAGCCCGTAGTGACGTTGACGGCTTAAATTGAACTCGAGAAACAGGAGAAGGAGATACGTTCTCTTGAACAGTTACTGGCGAAGTCAAATGGGGTTTGCACTGTACGTGTTCCGATGTCCTAGTGGGAAACCGAAAATCTTGATCAGACATTTGTGTCGCAACTGTGTGAACAGATTTTGGCATCACTCTGGCACCACTGATGAGCTCGATGGGAAGCATGCAGGGAGTAACCTTCGGAATGTCGTCTTCACGAGCCTCTGGAAGTAGACCGGTAACAAGCATTTTATGAACGATGTACTGCCGCTGGTTCGCCTCAATCTCACAGGCCTCCAGTGCTTCTCGACGACGAGATAGCGCTTCTTTGAGTTCCTTTTTCAAAAGAACACGAGCGAGAGTATTAGGGATTTTTGGCGCATTAGATGCTTTAGAAGTAATAATAGATACGGGTTGGCGCAGAACAGTTCTATGTTTGGCAGTGAGTCTGAAAGAAGCACCTGGAATAATGGCAGGGTCATATGGTCGAGTAAGAGGAGATGATGTGGTAACGGAAGTAACTGAAGAAGGACGTGAGTAATCGGCAGACATTTGGCCATTTGGCAGTTTCTCGAAGGAAGGAAGCGTGGTAATCGTTTGTGTGCAGGTAGAGCTGACGGTGAATGGCGAATAGCAAGACGAGGTAGACGGAATAGGAGCGCTGGCATTGATGTAAACTGGTGCAAGGGATGTTTGTGCCCTGAGGGACCTTTGTCTAGGGGAATCGGTCTGAGTCTGGACAGCTAGAGGAAGCAGAGATTGAGCAGGCATGCCGATGGTTCCACTGAATGGAGTTGGTGGTGCTGAATAAGCAAGTGGAGTTGCTGAATAGGACGAGTATGGTGGAATGGACGGCAATTTACGACGACCCATCTCAAAACCGACCAAACTGCCATCATCCTGAAACAATATAGAGAAATAAAAGATCTGAGGACAGGTTTACATATTTATTTATTTCGAGGCCCAATAAACCTATTGGGATTTGTGCTGTAACAACAGTCAGGAAACGTTCTTCAGTAGTTTATGCCCCATAGGGTTGCCTTAGAGTCAGTTTCTATGGATGCGAGAAGCACAAAGAGAAATTGTTTGCAGAACACAAGTCGATGTTAGTAAGATTGCCCTAGTGATCCCATGGGATGTGTAGAATCGAAGAATGCGTATTAAGCAGAAACGAAATTGCTTTTCACTGGAGTTCGACGGACAAGTTCATGACACACGTTGCATTTCTTTTTCTGCGTGTAATTTACAGGCTTGCAAATTGCTCTAATACTTGTAATAGTAATACTTATATTTGCTTATTTAATATTTATTATCATTTATATTTACAATATTTATTTATTTATCTAATATTTATAATGCACCATTCAAATGTTGCAGCTAAGTGGTGTTTATGCCCTTGTGTGTGCAGAAATAGTTTGAAAGACTTCTTAGTGAGAAGCTCTCAGTGAAAGCAGCCTTCGTTAAGCTTACAAATAACTCTTTCATTTTAGCCACTATTCCAGTTCTGCTTTGGAAAAAATACTCAGCCGCTAAGAGCAAAGATCCTACATGTACAGTCATTTCTATCCAGCTCCCGTAAACGGTGACAAAGTCAAAATCCCTTGGCTATACATAAAAATATACTAGGCTCTCTTAAAGAAATCCGCATTGTGCTCGAAACTAGAAAAGAAATCTATTTACGTGACACACTCTGACTTAAAAACATAGATAATCCCCAGTTGTGATTTCTTAAAAGAATCTGGTCCTTGGGTAAATGGCTATGATTACACAATTAATGGAGTAATGGAAAAGTTCAGAATTCTACAGAGTCGTAGAATAGACTTCTCTTTACCGTTACAAGGATGTAAATAATTTCTGTAAAATGTCATTTCAACTTTAAAATTGATTAGAACTAAACTTTTCATGAAGATCTGAAGGCGAAATCTAACTCTTAAAGATTCTAACGCTATAGCGGCAGCTGTGAAAAGTGCTACTACGTTAGGGAACACCATTGAATTCTCCAGCATGAAAGCCTGTTTGTTCACCTTCCGTGATGGACAAAGTTCGAGTTCGAATGAAAACAAGCGAAAAACATGTTTTTTGTACTCCAAAAAATCCAAAGATTACCCAAGTATAATAAACAATCTGTAACTAGAAGATAAAGATCTAAAGATTTCATGAGTTTCCCGTATAAGTAACAAAATTCATTACGAGGGGATACGTGTTACTTTGAAGTTAAATACGCCTACTAATTTACTACCACACTATTCCATTTGACACCACAGAGGGAAACGTTCAAGCATAAAGTTTGGAGGACCCTGAGCTGACCAATCCTCATTTAGAGTGAAGTACTATTACAAATCAATGCAAAGCTCAACTTGTACACTTTCGCCATATATGGTACAGTTGAATTATAGTACATAAAGTATTTATGGCTTATTTTTTAGCTTGGGAAGTGAGATATCAAAACGACAACACCGATAAATTTACTCTTACGAAGGGAAATAAGGTCGTAGTACAGCGCAAATGGCACGAAGCATTAAAGAGATATGCGGCCATGGAACTATTATTAAATACGAAGTGCGAAGTTGGTTTCCGAAAAATCGTCGTGACGAATGAGATGTTGAAGATGGGGTGGTCAAAGACGATGACGATGAAGATGAATTCAAGGCTTCGCCGAAGGCAAACAGAAGCGCTACTGCTCGAGAGCCTGCAGAACTTGCGTAAATACGTCAGCTGCTTGGAATCTTCCAAAGAAGATTTGAAAGTTGAAGGAGGTCAACGAATGCATGCCGTATGAACTGACGACAGGTCGCATTGCCGGCGCTGCAAAAGTTGAGCCAACTGGGACACGAAATCCTGCTTCGTCATCATACTGGGCGGGACCATCTGTCTACTGACTACTACCTTTTTAAGTTACTTGTCAACGTCCTGCGTGAGAAATGCTTCAGAAACCAATCCCAGTCCGTACTACTTTCACGGACTTCATCGCATCGAGAAGTCCAGAATTTCTTACAACCGGTATTAATAACACCATTCCTCGTCGATAAAGATATGCACAATCTAACGGTTTTCATCTGGACTCGTACAGATTATTGAGGTAAAGTAAGCCATTTTACTTTAAAGAATACAAGTTGAAAATCGCCACTAATTTCCGAAGCAACTAAAAACTGCACAAAGTACACAAAACTGACAATTAGGTCATCCGATCATATGGATTTCCCTCTCCTTAGAAAGCATTTGGCCGAATAAAATAAGGACCCAGTGACGAACACATCCTCACTGGATCGATAACCAGCCAATAATCCTATCAAAGCTTCGGACATAAGAGGATCGGTCAGTAGGCAAAGAAGTAGTAAGTAATCAGACGCGAAATAAAACGTCGTGTCTTCAATTTGGTCGCGCAAATCATTAACAGCTTGTATAGCGAAGCCACCTTTAGGGCCAAAGCAATTCTGCAGAGAACTCGAAGTGACGTGACGTGTCTCTCAGCGGTTTGCTAATTCACGACGTCCTCCTTCTCCTTTAGTAAGTAGCAACCACAATTTAGTACAAACCGCTTTTCAAGATAGAAACGGGACTAATCCACATTTATTGCCCTTCATATGACTACTAAATGTAAAAAGAACAATATATTCTTTCGCATCGATCTAAGTTGAAACAGGTTGCAGTCTAAGTATGTCAGCTTGTCCAACGTCGTGCTCGCAGTTCAGTCACCTGGATGACTTTTTCAACGTGATTCGTGGGAAAAATCTCGTCGTTTCTAAGCAAAAATATATTGTTTTCCTTTCAAAACAACGGGTAACGATGGGTAAAGTCTACTACATGAATCTATTTATTCTAGCGTTACCAGACGCAAATCCAGTCATAAAGGCGCCATAAAAGCGTTAAACGTAAAAGCGTTCGGCGTTGATCAATCCCTGAGGGATGCGTCATGCGTTCGACTTCATTAAGCGTCGTGGAAGCGAATGAATGCATATCTGTCTTAGACTTAAGAAAGGGCACATCGCTTTTATCTTCCCATATAACTAAGGTACTCATTTACTGACTACACAAGGAAGCAAGGCTTGTCTGTTCGGTAGACGGGCTCGAACCAACGACTCAATGTGTATTGCAAAGCAGCTCTAACCACCGCGCTATACGTGTCCTAAAAGCGACATGGGAACAAGGATGTTGGTAGGGATCTTCTTTTGATTCTTCACTCATTACATAACAGCTACTAATTGCAGCTAATTGCAATAGTGACTAAAAACCCTAATTATACACCATGAGAGGAAGTTCTATCTTTTCCATATCAGCCAGCGATCGAAAGTGTCACGAGGGTGAAGGTCGCTGCAAGACACGCATTCGTCTCGACTGTTGAGGAGGCAGCACACACGCACACAGAGCTTTGCTCTCTCTCTCGCTCTCTCTTCTGGTTCAGATCAATACCAGCGCTTACTAACTAAGTTATGCATATCCCACTCGGTCACCCATCGGCAATCGGGGTGAGGAACATCGACAGTGAACAGCTGTTCGACTTCTAAATAAGCCATGAGCCCCATATTTTACTGCAGACGTAATTGAAAAATTGGAAAACATGGCAAAATCAAATGAAACGGCTGATGAACACTGACCGTTGTTTACGACGAGAATGGTGGACACGTTAGAAACCATAGCGTTGTAGGAACGAAAGTGGACAATGAAGTGTAGCTGAACGAGCAGTGTGGGTCGGTAGAGAACAGGCAGACCGCTGCGAATGGGCGGACTCCGCATGCACTCTCTCCGCCCTCACTTCTTCCTGATGACCGCGCCTTCCTGAGGCTCATTTGACAACCATGCTATAGTTAGCAGCTTCTGTCACTTCACCAACGACTATTGCGCCTATGCTAAGTATCCTTCCGCAGAACTAGTATCCGCCAGAACTCGTTAATAACGTTAGTAAAGTCCAAGTGAACTATTTTCTATACGCACTTTTTTCATGGTTGTCAACCACATACAACTGCGACCTTTCGACCTCGAGTACTGCTGGGTAAAAGGAAGGCTTGCTTCTAGATACTAGCAGGGCTTATTGACAACGCTGAGCGCATGTGCATGTGAAGGAGTGTCCTTACGTGTCTCATCGATTGTCCGAGGCTCGTAATCTCTTCAGAGTTGCTATTAGTGGAAAAATAAAAAAAAAATTGAGATGTTATGTCGTTGATTCTCAAAGACATGTCAAAAATAGCGCAAAAAATTAAATCCCTATACTCATGACTAATATACTTCTTCGGCCTACGAACATTAAAAGTGTTCTAACTTTTATTTACTGCTTATTCTTTTTTCATGGCTAGGTATGGTGTGAAGTACAAGCACAAGGATGCTGCGACATGAAAAAATCTCGGAACCTCAGATGGACTTCGAACCTACGATTACCCTAAGACGGTGTTTTGCGTGCTAGATATTACAACACCTGCTGCTGCAGGATGGACCGTCATTGAGAAAAGGAATCATCAGTTCACAGTCATCAACAACCGTGTTGTATATGAAGGACACCGCCGAGTGAGATTACTTCATTCAAGCGGTCCCCCACTGGATTCGACTTGGTGCGATCATGAAGACCCAAGTCGGAAGGATGAATTCGCTGTGGACAATCTATTCGAACTCTAGAGAAGACGAAGCGTACAGTGTTAACCGAATAAATTTTGGTAACAACTTCGTGTTAGCCTACCAATGAGAAGACGTAATGAAACGGCGTTCTCGATTTTTGAGTTAAATTGATTGGATTGGCTTATAAAAAGAGAATCTTGAATTTGTACAGGGTACCACCATACGAAAAAAGTTGTACGAGTTCTTTGCCCATTGTCTTAGCCAGTTCATTTTCGACGGAATTTAAACACATGGATGCCTTGCCCGCCTTTAGCTTCTTTTCTCGT